AATCAATTAATATACCAATATATATATATCTATAACAGGGTTTGATAATTGTTAGCGATTTTATACTTAAACATTATTTCATTTATCATTTATGTAGTCTTTTATGTAGTCTACTTCGTCTTTAAGCGTTAAATTAAAGCGAATCACAGCCCATATCAAACTGGGCTGTGAACAGATTTTCATCTGAGGAGCAGTGGGAAAATCTTATTTTTATATATATTGTAAATAAAACTTTGTTTTTTTAAACTACAGCAGACTCAACTAGAGAGCAGGTAGAGACAACTTACCATTGGGAACAGTTAGCTTCATGTAAAACGGCTGCTTTCATTTAAGAAAAGTTATGTGGGATGGCTTGGATATGATACAATGAGAACACTTTTAGCAGAGAACACATTGGTGAAAAGTAAAGGGTGCAATTTAAAAGCAATTATTGGGAACAGAAACACTTACTGCAATGAGTAACATTAAAGCACAGTTGCTTTACACTTGGGAGCACTTTTTGTTTGCATTTGGGAACAGTAGAATGCATCAGGATATGCTCGATTAAATGCAGCTAACTTTTGCTTTGCGGGAACAGTTTGTATGCGAGTCAAAAGTTGGCTCGAGTCCGCAATAAATTGCCCAGCTATCGTGCACTATGAAGTGTGTGTGGCCAAAGACCGACAGAGTGCGAGCGAGAGGTGGGAGTGGCCGGGTAGGCGTGCCTGAGACTGGTGCTTGCCATAGCGTTTGCGTTGTGGTTGCCAATATCTTACGCTTGGCCAGGCACCTGGGCGAAGCTGCAGCTGCAGACGGATGTGCCAGCTATGCGACGGATGTGTCGACGGATGGAAAGGCTGAAGCGGATGTGAACTCAAGTCGCTATGTGTTACCCAGGGCAAGCCAATGAATGTAGCCAACCAACCAGCAGCTCAGCTGCTGCTTCCTCGAAAGCCCGTTCCCTTTTGTCTCTTGAATCTTGGCTGTCAAATATATTTCATGAAGATTTAACGCATTTGCAGCGCCAACGAGGCGGCTCATTATAAACCGCTGTGCCTTTCCTTTCTACTGCCTCTCTACGCGCTTCTCACTCGTGTGCAATTTTAATTATGCATGTCAAACGCTTCAGCTACCAAATGCCAGCTAGACCTCTGCGCTTAAAGAGTCATGAGTGCGTGGGTGTGTGTGTGCTTGTGTGTGTGAGGAGTGAGCCAAAACTTCAATTGTCATGCCATCAGCAGAGCACGGAAAATGGCGCGTAACGATGTCTTAATTAAGACTCGTCAAAGGGCAACAGCACAGCACGACGCAAAGGATGCTGTGTGTGTGTGTGTGCCCCATGATGTGGCAGCTGTGGCAGCTGTGTGTGTGTGTAGAATGTCTGCCTCCCTCGCATGTGCCGCATCAAATATCGAAAATCAGTTTTGCTCCACAATGACACGACGAAAAACGCGTCGCCTGTCTCTGCTTCTGGCTGGACCACGTTTATTATGTTAATTTCTGAGTGTCACCCTAAAAGACATAATATATATTTGCTGCCTAACAAAAGACGCCGACTCATGCCAGCGACTACTAAGCTAGCTAACCAACAGCTTTTTCTTTTCTTTCTGTTTGCATGACAAGCACAAGTATCTGGCACATTCTCTAGTCAAGTCGAGCTCTACTTTTATGTAATATGTATATATCTTCAGCTTGGAAGTATGCTTAAGATCAATCATTTGTGTACTGTATGTTTGTTTGATTGATGTCCATGTTTGCAAATCAGTCACGTCTTCAGGCCATCATTTATTTAGTCCATCTGTCAGTCTATCAGTGAGTTAAGCCTTCAGCCAGTCAGTCCATCAGTCAGTCTAGGAAATCAGTCAATCAATTTGTCAGTCCATTGATTAGTCCGCCAGTCAGTCCATCACTCAATCAGTCAATCAATCAGTCTTTCAGTCAATCTATTGGTTAGCCCATCAGTCAGTCAGTTAATCAATCATTTAATCATCTATCAATCAGTCAGTCTTTCAGTCACTTAATAATTCAGTCCATCAACCAGTCCAGCAGTCAATCAAACGCTCAAGTAATTAATCAATAAGTCAGTCAATCAGACGATCAATTAGTTTATCAATCACTCTGTTAATCAGCCAGTCAATCACTCTATCAATCACTCCTTTAATCAGCCAGTCAATCACTCTATCAATCACGCTCTCAATCACTCTTTTAATCAGCCAGTCAATCACTCTATCAATTACGCTTTTAATCAGCCAGTCAATCAGTCTTTCAATCACTCTTTTAATCAGCCAGTCAATCAGTCTTTCAATCACTCTTTTAATCAGCCAGTCAGTCACTCTATCAATCACTCTTCTAATTAGCCAGTCAATCACTCTGTCAATCAGGTTAAATAACTAGATTAATTCACCCTTCAATCAGACAATCAATCAGATCTTTGCACACTTTACTCTGAGATAGAGCATTACAGTTGTGTTAAATTTTAAATTGCAGTAAATATATCTAAGAAGTGCAGCAGGATACCTATCATTTCCGTATTTGTAAATCAATAGTTTCTCTCAGGAACAATTATTGAAGCGCATTTCATATTCCCCAACACCCCTCTCTTTCTCTCTCCTTCTCTCTGTCTATCTCTATGCAAGTTAAATCGCTTTCCACTGGACTCAAGTGGGGCTTTCGATGTGAAATTTTACAATTTGTACGCAATTTTTCATGGCTGCCCTCGAAAGTGTGCTACACTCTGTGCGATTATTCAATTTCATGACCCACTCTGCAGCAGTTTACGCTCGCCCATTCTTTGCGCACGTTGCATATATGCATGCAACTGACAGTTGCCACAAATTGCGTCCTTAAAATTGTTCAAACTTTATTTCTTGCAGCATTGAATCAAAATCGATGGCCTGGGAGCAATTGTTGCTAGTTAGTTTGTTGTTGTTGCTGCTGCTGCTGTTGCTGTTGCTGCTGCTGCTGCATCAGCAATTAGCCAAAGACAACAATGGAGAAGCAATAAACATGGTTGCTTATAAGTCAGTTGGCAGGCGGCAGGCGGCAGGCGGCAGGCGAAGGCAATGGCAGGAAGCATGAGTCGGGTATCTATGTGCCCTTTGTTGCTGTTGCTGTTGCTGTTGCTGTTGCTGTTGCTGTTGCCGTTGCCATTGCCGTTGCTGTTGCGGGCAACAAATGAACTGTACAAATGAAAGTCACAGGGCCAACTTGTCGACAATGGCAATGGCGCCCAGCCACGCCCCCGCGCGACGTCTGCTGTGTTTAGCGCTTTATTTATGGCAGCAAATGCAGCGCGTAAATCACACACACACACACACACACGCGCGCGCGCACACACACACACATCGCCATTAAGCTGCATTAGTGGGCGTTGGAGGCGTGGCCGCGCTGCAGTCGACTGAAACAATCAAACGGAAATTAATTGCGGAATGTGTGAAAAGTGAAAGGCAACAGCAAAGCCGTTTGGCTTTTATCGTGCAAATCTTCTCGTGCCACGCCCCCCTCTCCCCTGGCATTTAGCGCGCGAACGCCTTAATTTTAATGATTTGCCACAGGAAATTTGTGCTGCAGCCAAAAGCCGGCTTCCTCCTATTATGAAAATCACTTAACGCTTTTTCTTTCTGCCAATCAACTGAAATATTCAATTTTTAATTTCATCTTGCAGAATTTAATTGAAATTCTGTTTCTGAACTCGCAAGCCTTGGCCGAGTCTAATTAGCTTTTAGCATCATTACTCTTATTACACAACCTAATTATAGCCATAAATTAGGTTAGTTCAAACATGAATAGCCCATCTCACTGAAAGCTTACTTCAATTTCTAGTCGGATTTGTGGGCTGCGCTGTCAACAACGCTTCTCTTTGCGGTTCTCAACAGCACGACTACGAATATGGCCTTTACATACTCTTCATCTCTCCCTCTCTATATTGTTCTCATTCTTCCATTTATCGCATGCTGTCTTTACCTCTGCCGCTTTCTTTCTGTGTTTTTCGTGTTCGCTTTTTCATGTTTTTTTTTTCAATTATTTTCTTTGCATATTCTCTGTCTTTCTCTCTCTCTATTTTCTCTCTCGTTCTCTTCTCATATTTATCCCTCTTTATTTGTAACACTCTCTCTCACTATCCAACCCTCTCACTTTATCTTCCTCTCTCTTTCTCTCTCTCACTCTTTCACTATCTACCCCTCTCACTTTAGCTCTCTCTCTCTCTATCGCTTTCTATATTTATCTATATCTTTATATTTCTCCCTCTCTCTCTCTCTCTCTCTCTCTCTCTCTCTCTTCCTCTCTCTCTCTCTCTACCTCCCTTCTTCCCATAACTCTCCCTCTATATTTCTCACACTCTCTCGCACTATTTAACTCTCTCAAATTATCTTTCTCTCTCTTTCTATCTCTGTATATCTATCTCATTATATTTCTCTCAAGCTCCCTCTCTCTTTCTCTCTCTCTCTCTCTCTCTCTCTCTCTCTCTCTCTCTCTCTCTCTATCTGTTTCTTCAGACTCTTCTCTACACTTTTTTTTTTTTGGTTCTCTCATTCCTTTTCTCATTCTGTCATCCTTATCGCTGCTTCGTCTCTCTCTCTCTCTTTCTCTTCCACTCTATTTCAATCTCTATACCTACCTCATCTCATTCACAACCTAGAAATTCGATACATGTGAGCTATATCTGGATGGAAATTGATTCGTAGTAGCCTTTTTTTGGTTATAGAATCAGTCAGGCTAAAAGAATTTCACTCAACATACATATACTTAAATTATAATCTATACATGAAAAACAGAAAATCGTAAATTATCAACGAGATTGTAAGCGAAGTGCCATCAGAGAAGGCAGTAAGAGCGACCACTCCTCCCCCAGGCCCCCTTTCCGATAACTGAGCGGCGAGTGGCAAGTGGGAAGGCAGAGAGATACAGAGACAGCGAGTGTGTGTGAGTAAGAGTATTAGAAAGTGTGTGTGAGAGAGAGAGAGAGAGTGAGAAAAAGAGAGAGAGAGAGAGAGTGAAAGTGAGAAGAAGAGGAAGAGAAAGAGAAAGAGAAAAAGAGATAGAGAAATATTGAGAGAAGAAGTGAACAGAGAAACAAAGAAGGAGAAAATAGCTGTGATTCCTCCTAAGCAGCAGATACGTAAAGATAAACCTGGAGAACTTTGCAGACCCGTTCAATTAGCTCACTCCGGACGAGCTAAGCTCAAGATCGGGAAATTCGTTCTATTTTGAAGTAAGTTCCCAATGTCTCTTTCTCTCTCCCTCTCTAACTGTCTCCCTAGTTCTGTCCGTCCTCATGCCTGCTCTCTCGTACGCAGATGGTTATCAATCTGAATCCAACGACGCTGACTAATGCGAACGGCAACAGCAGCCCAATGGCAATCATCAGTCATGCGGTAATGGATGATGTCGTCTATATGCATGTGGTATGTCCGGGCGATGAGATCTCTAAATGGGTGACCTTGGAGGAGGCATTGGGCCTCTGCCCGTCTGCAGTCATTGCCTACACGCAGTTGACTTTGACGCATATCTTTGGTCCGCCCGTTGAGGATCAAGAGCCCAGTCTGTTTGACTGATATCCAATGATTCGTTTGCTGTCGTCGTCATTGCCATCGTCTTTCGTCTTTCTATGACTACTCCTTCTGCTTGGAAGCTCGAAACTGCTTCGACCGTTGAATTTCCGCCAATAATTGGCCAAAACACAACCGATGAACAATTAAAAACTATCAATAACTTATGCTACAATAATAACAACAACGGCAAACACACAAAAAGACACTTTTGCCAATGTGCAGAATTTTCAAATTCAAATTTCAAGCTTTCCAAAAAAATGAAATGACAAAAACATCTTGCGAACCCAAAAATCAAGCCCGAATCCCTCGACATAATTGTTTCGATATTAAATTTCTCATGTGCATATATGCACAAAAGATATTGTTAGCCAGTTGAGCAGATCGCACACACACACTAATTTACACCTTTACACAGACAGAAGCACAAATACAATCCAAAATCAGACGCCCAGTTTTAACCAAGTCCCTCGATTTGAACATATCAAACTCAAATTTCAAGTTTCTCTTCTACATACATAGTTTATTTTCCCTCTTTCACACAAACAATTTTGATTTTGTTGGAAACTCTATAAAAGTTGGCAAATATTTTCGAGTTGGTTCCTAAGCGTGGTTATTACAAATTCAATGAGAGCAGTCCATATTCCAAATTTAATAATGATGTAACTCCAAATCTATTATAAGATAATACAAATAATGGGGTTTTTTTAAAAAATTCTAAATTATCGTTGATTTTCTTTACATTGGGTGGCGAGTTGTGGGTGATAATGGTAATGGTAAGTGTAAGGGTAATGGTAATGGTAATGGTAATGGTATTACTATAATAAGGACAATGACAATAACAATGTTAATGAAAATGAAAGTGATTATAAGATTTCTATTCTATATAATTGTTCGTTTATCAATTTATCGAGTTCCATTTAACAACATATAGCATATGATGGGCATAGGCTTCTTTTTTTTTTTGTTGAATTCCATTAGAGTAAATTTCATCATCATTTCAGTTATTTGACTTTATGAATCGCTTGTAATACTTTTTATTTCTCAAGGCTGCATACGGACGTGCTTCAATTTGGCCGTATGAAAAGCAGCTCATAGACCAAATTCTCTGATGATTGGGCTACAATAGTTGGGGCCGATGGCTGCTAAAGGCAGTTGGTTACAAAAATTTTGTTCCTTTGACATCGAGATTCAACTGGACAAACTTGTCCTTGGCCTGTGATCACGTGCGCTTGTCGCATTTGTCAGTTACCTGACTCGGTGAACAACAAAAAGAACAGACACATACACACGCACACGCACAAATACATGCGCGCCATTAAATTGTTGACAACGCGGCGTATGCGTAATGCGGTCGTGCCCCATTTTGTATTGTCCTGCCTTGTCCTCTTTTAACTTGCTCTTTACTCTTCACACGTCTGTGCTTGTACCTTCTTTTCTGCTTTGTTGCGCCCAACCTTATGCGCGCACCAAATTTGTCTTGGCTTAGGCATTTCAATTGCAAATTAGCCCACGCCTCCTCTCCTTTCCCTGTCGCCCTCTGCCTTTACCTGCTGCTCGTTTGGCTTTCTAGTTTCCTTTTCTGCTTTTGTCGTATACCCTTACTGTGGCTATTATGCTGCTGTCACGGAATGTGTAACAGTTATGTATGTCTGACCTTTGCCTAGATGTAATTTGAATATGTTAAAACTGACCCACAAAAATATAGTATTTAAATTAGAAATAAATACCTTTTGGAGAAAAAATACCATATTTTGTTAGCAAGGGTATTTAAGTTGGCTTATGCCTTCGCCAGCTGCTCTCTTTCTCTGCTCGTTCACCGCCAGTTTCTTTTCTCTTCTCTTTGCTTTCATGCTCTGGCCTGCTTCAGTTTTTACTTTGGCCACATTCAAAGTGTACATTTCGCTTTTTGCGTGGCAATTTGAATGATTTATGTTGATTGCGTATAATTGCATGTTGTGCTGCCTTTGCGACGCCCGCTTTCTCGCTATACCCAGCTCCACTAGTAACAACTTCCACGAGTTGCGCCTTTGGCATGAACGATCCTAACCTCAGACATTTGCATTGTTGCTGCCCGCTGCTGGCGCCAGCGTTGTCGTCGTTGTCTCAGCTTTTATGACGCGTCATCTGTCAGCGACTTGTTGTGACATTGTCTGCTTGCTCCACAGGGGCGTAGCATGAAGGGGGACCATGCGGGGCTTGGCTAGACATTGCGCTGCTTATCTAATTATGCGCCCAAATGCCACGCAACACAAAAATGCCACCGCGCCACCGCCTCAATGCCCGGCCAAGTACTGGTTGACTGTCTTTTGCGGCACGACGCTTCTTTTTTCTAACCAGGCAAATGGGCGGGGTTGCTAAATGTGAAGGAGTGGGATGGGAGTTAGCTTAATGGCAAGGCGCGCGCGCATTTATTTCGCTTGTAAACGAGCGCAATTTGCAATTTGAACGCGTCCATTTGGCGGCGGGATATACATACTTATATACATATACTACCTTCTCTTGTGCTTCCAACCCACCTGTCAGCCATTTGCAATTGAATATTTATTTGCGCCTGTCTAGGGGCGTGGCATTCAACTAAAAGTTATTACGCATAAGCAATAGACAAATTTTTTAAGTTAAGGGAAGGAAGGAGCAGCCAAATTTTTGCACTCTGCTAATCAGACTAAAACGCAAACAGTGTGCCCAGACAATGAAAATGAAGAAAGAGGTGCCCGTGGGTTTTATTTATATACCAGCTGAAGATCGTGTGTTAGAATTGATTTAAAAAAATAAAATAAAAATAAATAATACTAACAATAAATAAAATAATAATAATAACATCTAATAATTTAATAATCTAATCAAGTTCGTGGATCACAAGTATTAAAACCTGTCGAACGGTTGGTCACACTGTTGAACAATGCCTTTGCCCAACGCACGAACTTGCGTCGCAGATTAGAAATGGCAGCAGAATGCAAAAACAAAATGAACGCAAGCTGAACACAGAAAGAGTGGGAGTAAGAGAAAGATAGCGAGTGTGAGCAAAGGAGCAGAGAGGAGTGGGAAACGTCAGCTAATAAAATGAACTTTATGCGCGAACGTGCGTGGACTTCAAACAGCAAAAGGAGCAAGCGGAAGAAGAAGAAGCTGGGACACACATTAAAATAGATGCAGCAAAGAGTCAGAGAATGAGAGAGCAAGGAGAGGGTAAGGGACTGTTGGATAGTTATTGCCCAGTGTCCCAGTGTCAGTTCTCTTTTATGCTCTCTTTCTCTCTCTCAGTTACAGTTTCAGTTGCCTAATTATAATTTTGCAATTCTGCTGGCGCATGCAAAATTCATGACTGCCGGAGGAAGAGGAAGGTAATAGCGTGGACGAAGCGTGAGCGGGAGGACGAGGTGCTCACATAACATTGCGCCTCTCTTTCGCCCTCATATTCTTTGATGGTGGTGCTGCTGCTGCTTCCGCTGCTCTTGCCGCTGATGTTAACATAAAACATGACAACTTCCGGCTGCTACTTTACTAAAAGCGCAGCGAAAATGCGACGTGGGCGTGCCAGCTGAGAGGGGCGCACGTTAAGCGTTTTATGGCCAAAAATGTGCGTTTCATTTGGCGCTGGCAGCGTGCTTCGTTCGCTTTGCGCTGAATCCCAAAACTTCCGCTGCGATACCCTGGTAAAAATAATAAAGGAGGATATTTCGCAACTAGATAGTTGGCATACAAATTAAAAATTGATAGCGGATTTCGAATTTTGATTGACATCAATTTTGAACAGTGACAAAAAAAGGTTCTAAATTGGAATGCCATCGATAAATGTATTTTAATGTATAAAGATATAGAAGAAATAGTACAGGGTACTCCAATTGGCAAGTGAAATCAACACAATCTTAGTCAGTTAGACTACTACAATGCAGCTTAAGGATACCAGCTATGCCCACATTAAAATTAAGTTATCATGAAATTTCATATTTAACGTACCTTTTACAGATCGGTTTAATGAATTCCACTCAGTTTCATACATTCACAGGGTATTCCAGAGTCGACTACAGTCAATGGCTAACGCTTTCACTTGTTATTTGCTGCTTTTCTGCAAATGTTGCAAATCTTAGCGAAAAAGAAAACTTGTCGTAAAAATATTTTCATCAGCCAAGATGGGGCGTGGCCGAAAGGGGGTATGGGTGGGGCGGTGGTGGTGGTGCGAAATGAAGCAATGAAAACGGGCAATAAACAAATGGCACAGCGCAGCGGAAGTTAAAGCAAAGCGCACAAAATGGCGGCCAGCGCACCGGAAGACAAAGACATCAGACGCCATCCTGCCCCCCGCCCTTATCCTCGTCGCTCGTCTTCCCACTCTGTTTCGGTTGGCGGGGAATTTATGAAGCATAAGCTGCATAAACATTTAGATTACATAAGCGTCAGGCCCGAGCATATCCCGGCCAGGACACAGAAAATCCAGCGACGCTTGCAACATTTTAAGTGTCGATAATTTTTGGTACACTCAATGACAGGGCACAGCGGGGCGTGGCAGGACAGTGCAGGGCTGGCGTGACAGCGGCTCTACTCTCACGGAGAGCTCATGCATATGCATCAGCTATGCAAATGACAAACAGGAGAGAAAGAGAGAGATGGAAAGAGAGAGAGAACAGAGTGAAACGAGGCGATAAGCAAAGCATTTAAAATTGCATAGAAGGCAGGAAATTTGCATTTCTTCAATGCAACAGAGCGAGAAGGAGAAAAAGAGACAGAGAGAGAGTGTGAGAGAGAGAGAGACAGATTGAGGCAAATGCAAATGTTATGTGTCAGCAATAAACAATAGACTAACAAGTGAATATCCCCGAATAATTCGATGCAACTCGTGCTGAGATAAGTGCGGAGCATAATGGAATGGAATTGGGTTTGGAGTCGAGATTAACGCAAAGAGAAAACAAAAGAATATCTTGATTAAAGGAACGCTTCAGCGCATCTCGAGCACACTGTAGTGGAATGGAACACGCTACAAAGCTATGGATAATTTTTAATTCAACGAATTGAAATAAATGAAATGAAATACATTGAAATGGAATGAATACATTCAAATGCTGCGCATATTCATTACTTTCAGAAAAAAACAAGTAGAGATTAATGAAATTACATTGCAATACTTTAGAAAGCAGACTGAAATGAAATGGAAAGGAACGCATTAGTGTATTACGAATATTAAATTTATTAAAGAGAAAGAGAAGAATAAAATATACATGAAACTACACAATTGATAAGAGGCTGGAACGAAATGGAATGGAACACAAATATTCAGTAATAGAAATTGGAATTGGAATTGGAATTGGAAGATGAGCTTGAAAGTGAAGTACAAGTCAGTACAAGTTTTTTTTATGCAATGCGAAATTCAGATTGGTACGAAATGGAATGAAACGTAAAACAAGATTTCAAAGTAGTATAATAATAACAATTATGCAATGCAAATAGAACCAAGTGGAGAGGAACGAAATGGAATGAAACACGTTGCCGATCAGTTATGATATGTTGCAGAATGATATAGCTGCAGAAATGAAGACGCATCAAATGGATTTCATAGAAGTTTATTGAAATCTCACGAAAGACAATGAAATATGCGTTGTGGAACTACGAAAGCGAACAGCTATAAAACCATTTAATTTATGACTCTTAGTGATTGAACTCTTAGGAACGAACCTCTATAGGTCAGTGAATGTTCCATGTAGAGTGTACATACAGACATAACTATTATGGGAGACAAAAGAAAGAGGGTGGGTGATTAAGTAGGGGCTATAGCTCACATCTAACCGAAGAAATTTAGTTAGGAAGGGAGAGGGAGAGAGATGGAGGGGGAAATCAGTGTACAAAACGTGTAGGGTATAAGTGAGTAGGGTTTGGCAGGGTGGTGTAGGGTATGCGGCGTTGGCCAAATGGGGCAGGCGAGTGGTGCAGCGGCAGCTCGGCTACGTGATTTGTTTGCCAAATTGTGGCAAATGTGTGTGTGTGTGCGAGTGTGTGTCCGTGTGTATGTGTGCCGCTAATTGAGTTGTTGCTTACACACACACACACACACACACTCAGATATACACGAAGATACACATTCCCCAAGCAGTCACGCCCAGTGCTCCGTGGCAGCGCGCCTCGTGTGCTGGCTTCCGCCTTTTGGTTTATTGAGTTTGCATGACCCTAATTTAAAGATGATTTAAAATTCCCGCAGCGAAATTAACCAAACGTCCGATCAGCTCAGCTGCTGCAATTGACTTCATCTTCATACCCCTCCAGCTAGCAGTTGTGTGCAGGGAGGGGGGGGGGGGGGGCTGGGGGGTTGGGTGGCTTGCGATTTATTGTTCGCTCGCTAATGCGCCGCATTTATCATGCAGCTGGCGCTTGGCGCTTGGCGCTAGACGAACGCCAACTGTAGCGCTAATGTTCGCCACTTGGACCAACATAAATTATGTTTAATCAGCAACAACAGCAAGCAACAAACAACAAACAACAAGCAGCCGTGTTGCAAGTCGCTTAATAGCCAAGCGAACAGCTTTCAGATACAAATGCATCCATCAGATACATCAGCGAAGGGAGCATTAGCTGCAGCAAAGTGGCGCCTGCCTAACTACATTGAACAAAAAGAGGATTTTATAATTATCAGTCACAAAAAAAGCCGTTGTAGCTGACTAGCAAATACCCTGTAAAGGCCAGACCAACACCTGAAAGAGAAACAGAAGACGACAAAAGGAGCTGATGAGCGTGTGGATTGCTTATAAGCAGGGTATAAACTTGTATAAGAAAAATCGATAATTATCGATTATAGTAGCGCTCAAAATGTTGTTAGTTCTATTTCAGAGTGTTTATTAGCAATATATATACTCGTTTCGCTTTTTGTACAGAGTATTCTTCGTAAGATATTCTTCAAAAACCTTGCAACATCCTGCAATCTGTTTATAATAAGCTTTAAAGCTGCTGCTGCTGCTGCTGCCTCTGCCGATGCTGTCGCGCACAAAAAAGCACTTAAGATCCCCCGGACGCTGCGAAAAACTAAATTACCCAATTGGCCACGCCCCCAGCAAAGGAGGTGAGAGCCTTTTTTGGCAGCTACTCCATATTCATGTTGAACAGGATTAGCAGGGACAGCAGCGTGATTTGTCCGGCGGCTTATCGATCTGTGACTAGTCCCAAAGCAGAGGTTGGAGCAGCACTAGAGCTGCAGATGAGTGTGTAGCTGGAGCTGTAGCAGACCGTGGGCCAGGCACGAAGAGCAGCAACAAACGCATCATGTCAATCAAGAGCAGAGTGAAACACTTTAGCCGCTAGCAACAAGAACGGCGATTACGCTGGGCGCCGTTTAAGGTGGGTCGTCAAGCGTGGGCGTGGGAGCAGGCCAAGAGGTGAGGCAGGAGGGAGAGTCAGTACATTACAGTACTAAGCAGGCAGCGAAATGGCCAACTAAGTGGCGGACCAGTCGCCCGTTAAGCCCCAATACGAAAACTGCCTGAGCTCAGCTACGTGCGTGAGTGTGGGCGTGGCAGCTAGTGTTGCTCTAGCAAAGTGCTTCGCCTCTCTCTCTCCCTCTTGCTCTCTCCTTTAATCAAGGTCTGCCACAAAGTATGCAACACTTTTGGCATATGCTGAATATCAGTGCAAGCTCAAGACACGACTTCCTAGAAGGGGAATAGCCATAGAGCAGCTCGTAGCACTTTCGATTGAAGTCATAAAAAACATAATGTTTTCGATTTCCATGTGGAATAATAAATTGTAGAAGAAGGTGAGAGAGCGAGGGAGACAAAGACAGGCGAAGAGCAATAGAAAGAACATTTTACAATTTAAAAATATGAAAAGCTTAAGCTGAGCTCTTTTTGTTGCACTGAAAGCTTGCAAGAGCTTTTAAGCAGCTTTCAAAACATTTTTCCTTGCATACTCTGAATGCGTTCTCAACCGTTTGAAGGTCAAGCGTAGACTGTGATGTAAAGCTCATTGTTAAAAAGCTTAGTTTGATTTGGATCACATATATAAGTAGCTTTTTAAGCTTAGTAACTATCTAGTATATATTTGGCACTATAAGTCTTTTCAATATCCTATTTCAAATATCCTTGAATGTGATTGATAATGTGCTTTAAAGCTCGCAATGCTTGATTAAAGCTCGTTAAGCGTAAGTCAAAGCTCTTTAGTATTACATTAGCTCAATTAAGCATCTAAAAAGCTGCACAAATCTTGAAGCTATTCTATAATTAGCAATTGGCAATAGTTTTCAAAGCTTTAATTAATTCATAAGTCTCTTCGTGGAGACAACTTTAGCCTTGGCTTGGCTACTTTCTGCCACAGTAATCTGATTGCTTTTAAGCTACCAGCTAAAGCTCATTAGGCGCTCTATTAGGCTTCATTAAAGCTTAAGCGGGCTTCAATTTAAGCTAAATTAAATCTCATTTCTTTAATCGAACTCACGCTGTGGCCACGCCCCCACCCACTTCAATTCCATTTCATGCATATTACATATCGCTCAGCTGGTTGCGTTCGCATTCTTCTCATACTCTCAACACTCGGGTATCTGCTGGAACACAATCAGTTTGTCTTTCAGTTGCCCCCTTAGGGTCGATTTCATGGCGCAATTTATGAAACCCGCTTGGCCTTTTGCCGCATTTCCTTCTCTTTTCTTTCCTTGTTTCTAGTTTTTTTTTCGTTTTGTTTTCAATTTTTTTTGCGCTCTCTCTCTATTTTTATACCCAGAACACAAAATGAGCGTAACAGTTCAGGGTATTATGTTTTGGCTACAATGTATGTAACAAACAGAAGGAGGCGTGGCCCTTTCTGGTCAGTCCAGATGACGGTCTGATTGTCTGTCTGCATATATGAGATAGAGTCTGCTCTCATTGAATTGATTTATTTTAAGTTAGGGTATCAGCTAGACAACCACAACACAATGATCGATAATAATCGATATACACTTCTGCCAGCATCGATAAATAAACCGATAGGCAACCTGCACTTGTAGAACATAGACAGATACATAGAGTGCAGAGCTTAGATATGTTTTCTCAATTATCTCTTGGCACATGCAACTTCTTGTATACCCTGTAATTCGACGCTGTAAATAGCGTATCTGCTTGTCATACATATACCCACTCTCTGCTTCTGTTTTTGTCGTTTCGGGCTTTGGCTGGCGTTATCTTGTGCGTAGATTCCCTGGCAGGCCAAACAGAAATATGAATTTATACCATTTTTTTAGTTGCTTTTAATGTTATTGTTGTTGTTGTTGTTTGCACTCGCAAATTCCTGGAACACAACGTAATTTATAGCTGGGAGTTTTGTGCCAAGGCTTTGCACAAAAGGAACACACAAAGTATGCAGCGAGAGGGAGAGAGACCGACAGAGACAGAGAGTAAGAGAGAGAGGGAGAGAAGCTACGCAAATTTGGGTTGACAGCTGAGGAGCAATGGTCGGATGGTTAGATGCGGCACAAAAGGAGCGCAGCTAACTTTAGCAAGACGCTTTTAATTACAGCTGATTTATTTATTGCGCACACGCTGCGCATGCAGGTGCAGCAGCTGGCAAACAGGTGCCAAAGGCGTTGGCTAATTTACAATGGACAAAGTCACAATAAATTGTCATTAAAATTGCAGTCAGCGGAATAATGCAGCTGCAGGAGCGAGAGCAGTGAGCGCAGCGACAGCAGCAGCTAGCTTGTTAGCAAGTCGTCGCTCAAAGTGTAATTAAAATGTAATTGTTGGGTAACCGCAGCACCTGACTAAGCGACCATTGGTGATGCAAGCGACAGCGCCGCACTAAATAATATAGAAACCGAAACTACTACTACTAAGTATTGAAAAACAGCTGCATGTGAGTCAGGGCGCTCTGTGGCTTGTGCCACAATACGAATTATGTGGAATCGGAGCCAGTTTTGTGATTAATTGCAATTGGGACGGCAGCATGAGCTGTAGCGGCAATTCAAGACTGACCAGCGGCGATGTAGCCGAGCAGTGCTGTCGCAATGTGCTCAACGAACTGATCTGCACAGAGGAGCAATATGTCGAGGATCTGATCAATGGCATTGAGCGTTATAGTCGCATCTTTAGACGCCGTTCAACGTTGCCGCCGGGTCTCGTTGGACAGCAGCACGTTCTCCTCTCGAATATTACAGAGATTGCGGCGCTCCATCGGCATCGCATTCTGCCCCTGATGTTGCATCATCGCCAGCAGCTGGAACTGCTCTTCGAGCGCTGGTATTCACTCGTTGAGCGCGACTTTTTTTACTGCTATGTTCTGTTCGTGGCTAATCAGCGGAATAGTCTGCATCTCTATCATTCCCATGAGCTTTATTTTAAGGTAAGCTCGTGTCGTTTTGTTTTCTATTGCTTATCCAATTTGTTATTTTATCACTGAGCGCATCAAAGCGCTTGTGCGAAGGCGAGACAACAATATAATTACTGATCAATTCAAATTAAGATGGCTGCCAAAAATGGTTCCTCATTTGCTTGCACATATTTTATTGTATTAAGGAGAGAGCAGCACAAAACATGGATGACAATAATAGCTAAAACGAATCCCAGTCACATATTGCGAATGAGTGAGAGAGAGAGAGATTGCACAGCAGAAATTTTTTTTATATATGGTGAATTCAAATAGACCAAAACTCAGCTGCCCAAAAACATAGCAGCGTAAGCGAGATAGCAACACGGTCGTTGATCAACGCAAATTAATATGGTATGTTTGATGCATAAGGGAGAGAGCAGAACAGAGCTGAAGTGAATGTTGAACACATGGTGAATTTGTGTGCGTATAAGCGAGAGCACAATAGCTGCAGAAATTGCAGTAACAATTGTCAAAAACAATTTTATTTTGTTCAGAGCAAAATGCATCTCTCTCATTCCCACTTCAATTATTATATACTGAATCAGCACAATTAAAGATTGGCGCCAACAATGGCGTCATCAGCCATAATTATATTGGCGGCTGCATGCTATTTTTGGGCTATGAAAAGGGAAAATGACGAATGTAATTCGTGTTTCGAACCAAAATACAGTTGAAATTATTATTAATGAATAAAAAATTGTTGCAGGGTAGTAGAAATCAATTCCGTTGTTAATTCTAAAATTTAAAAAATAAAAGTCAATAAATTTATAATAAATAAATAATTTAAATCTCGTTCATCAGCAGCGTCTGCAAAAACCAATGGGCGATCCGCTGGGCATACGCAGCTTTCTACTGAAACCTGTGCAGCGTATAGCGAAATATCCACTGTTACTCAATAGATTCATTCAGTTATTCTTCGAGCATCGTCAGGGTATCTCGAAGCACGTATTCACGTTGGCCTGCCGACTAGAGAAACGACTGCGCGAGCTCTTGGAGCGGGCCAATCAATCAGATCAGCTCAACGACATTAAGAACTTCCGCGTGGTACGTTCAAAGTGTTCAACCATGCCCATCTCCAATGACTTCCACGTCTTTTCTAGTCCAGCATACTCAACGAGGCGGGCTTTGTTACTATGGGCGACTTCCAGCTGATCGATGTTACACTGCGCCGCTGTTACACCTGCAAATTGTTTGCATTTAACACCTGCATCATCTACACGGAGTGTAAGGGCAACGAGCAACTGTTGCGTGGCACTTTCGCTCTGCCGGATGTTTGCTTTGTGGCCAAGCAGAAGTCCTTTCTGCTGTGCAATAAGCAGCACGAATGTGAGTTCCTTTGCCCGCTAGCATTGCTTAAAAAATGGGAGTCGATAGTGCATCGGCTGCTTGAACAGTGCGTGAGTATGGCAATTGGCGATGTCGCCAAGGATACAAAGCACTACGCGGACGACACCAGCGGGCAGCAGCAAGTGGCGCAACGCAAATCGATAAACCGCACCATCTGGTACACGATGTAGTGACCCATCCACACAGAAGCGACATCTTTCTCCTCGCTTACTCGCCTCACCACCTACTGCCACTCTTCGATGTGATATGTGTTTCAGTTGAAACTGAATCAAAACGGATAAAAACTGCCGCAATGGTTGCTACGCGACTCACAAAGCAAACCGAAAACAAACAAACAAAGTTTTAATAAAACGTTATCAAAATTGTTGGCATAAATCAAAGAGCGATGCATATAACAGTCTCCCGCTGTGCGCTGGGCAAAGGGTTAAAAAAACATTGCAAATATAAGCGGGCGACAGGTAAAACGGCGCTGAAAAAATAACCAGAACCAGGCGAGCTACAACGAGTCGCCCATCAAATACGCTGCCACAGAATGAAGCTGCAACGTGACTTCCAGCTTTCATGGTTTCTGTTGCAGACGTGTAGTAGCTCTGAGGTGTTAGCAAGTGCTGAGATCTGAGGTCATATATAACTTTATATATCTCTAACTATGTATAGTTATAGTAGCTCGATCGTAGTTTATAAATATGAAGTATAAAACTAGCTTTTCATGCAAGAAACTAATTTTTCTTCTATTGCTCATATGTTGGATGTATGTTATAGTGTTTCGATCCAATCAAGCTGCCCAAGACCTATAGGATAATGCGCTTATAAGAAATTCCATTTAGACAGCTCGGCAACTGAAAGTCTAGTAGGATAGAGCGACAATATTGATAAAATAGTTACTTGAAATGATCGATAGTTATCGATAATATAGTATATAGCTATAGTAAATACTAATGCAAACTAAACGTGTACACATGGAAACCGAAAAATGTGTGCAAAGCCAATTGGAATGACAATCGATACATAATCGATAAATATCGACATTGAAAAATCAGCGCATTCAATCAGCAAACAAAGCTAAATCAATTTACTTCAGGCTTAACTTAAATGTTTATCATAGACTGGCGCAAAAAACATGATCCGACTGCAGTATACCTTTTTTTCAGTTGGTGTATCACAAGTGCTTTGCTTGTTTTTTTTCTAACTTTAACTATAAACAAAGTGTTTTAGATAGTTGCCATTGTGCTGGCTGGCAAATTACAATATGTTGAGTTTTCGAAGAGTCATTTGAGTTGAGTTGAAAACCGCAGCTGGCACAAACTTTTATTAAGTTCTCCGCTGCGATTGTTGTCTGTGGTTTATCGTTTGCGGTTCTTGCGGCTGTTTTGCTTGTTGTTGTTGCTCTGCGCACAATCCAAATAATTGAAGCCCTGAGGTTATGACAAACACACATTTGATAGGCGTGTCATTTAAGTCGATGAATTGATTTATGTGCTTGTTTGTCAGTTGACCTGCAACTTGCGCATAAATTTCAAATTTCGCATTGCTCATACGCAGCGTGGTGCCCGCCCCCTGATACACATGTCCGAAAAGTTTCCAACGACAACAGCAAGAACAACAAGTGCAGGACGCAGTGTATGCGTGTGTGGAAAGGTGCTGGTTGACATTGCCCTGCAGATTGTTTCGACAAGTTTTCATGTCGCCTGCCATCAAAAACTTTGCCCGGCATCTTCATAAATATTTTGAGTTGTTGTCTAACGATACGCGGCGGCAACCGGCAAGAAGATGCAGAGCAACAACTAGCTGAAGTCATGGATGTGGCAGCAGCTGTACAACAGCAACAGCAGCACCAAGAAGAAGAAGTCGCATATAAAGAAGAAGCAGACGAAGAACAAGCCCAGAACAAACAACAAGTATGTTCAACTATTTTAAGCGCGCTTAAAAGCCTTGAAACAAAATATATTTCATTTAGTATTTAGTTCCTGCCAAAAGTGGAGCAAGGCCAAAATCTAGTTGTGAGCGTCTGATCGACGTGAAGATGTCCTATAACATGTGTGCTTACGTATATATATAAATATATAATTTCGAGCTCTTGTAGCTTACCTTGATCTTATGCTGTTCAACACAAAAACAAAATCGATATTTATCGAACAAAAGCAAAAGAAGTAAATTAACTCGTTCTACAGCATTTCTGATTTAATTTCTTTCTTTATTTAGACAACTTCCATTCATTATGTAACCCTTTCGTATACCCTATATAGCGCTGCCACTGGTATGGCTACAGGGTATTCAAATAACTTACAACTTGTGCTTTTTGGGGATTTCCTGTTGAAAAACAGTTTCGTTAACTTTCGCTTAAGTCAGTTCCGCCGGCGTTAAACTGCAAAAAAAACGTATTTGCTACAGATTTGTTAAAAACAACAATAATAAACAAGTTCAAATTGCAAAAACCATTAAAAATCAATGTTCTTCAATCTGCCAAGCCCCAAAGAGTTAATCATATAATTTGTTGTTTCATCTTAGGGACAGGATAATCGGGAGGCACATGCAAGGCTTATGCAAGATACAGATGCAGCAATAGATACAGATACAGATACAGATATAGATACAGATACAGCTACAAATACAGAGATGTAGAGATACAGAAATATATAGACGCGTAGATGCAGATACAAATACAGATACAGCACAGATACAGAGATAGAGAGATACAGAGATATGTAGATGTAAATACAAATACATATACAGGGATACAGAGATGCAGAGATGCAGAGATGCAGAGATGCAGAGATACAGAAATATATAGATGTATAGATGTAGATACAAATACAGATATAGCTACAGATACACAGATACACAGATACAGAGATAGAGAGTATTTCTGTACCTATATATGATGCAGATACAAATACAGAAACCGCTCCAGTCCAACTCCAACTCCAACTTGAAGTTGATTGTAAAATGATCGATAAACGTGATTGATGTAACTATGGAGGTAACACGCATGCCCGTCAATAGCTCAGCTGCGCAAATTGAAGCTGCAAATGTCCATTGTTCTATTCCCTTATTGAATGCCGCTGCACACAAAGGAGCTGCGCTACAAGGCTACCTGAAGCAACTGCTCGGAAATGAACGCGATTCAAGGAATCACGTCGCAAACTGTGGGTTTCAAGTGACCGTGCTGGAAATGCGGGTGTTAATAATCGTCGGGACGACTCACTGACAGACTGTCTGTACTGCAGACAGTCCTGCTGCGCGAATCTCTGCCAAAGGGCTGACTAAAAAGCTGAACATGAAAATAAAACAAAATAAAAAAAGGAATAAAATAAAGCAAAAACAGAACAAGAAAAATGAAACCTGCTGGCAAACGGAAAACAAGTTGAAGGAAAACACCAGCAAATGAAAATCGCACAACAATTTTCCATTTCCATTTACATTTCGTTGCCATCCCGCTGGGTACAAACGGTTGTTGCTGTTGCTGTTGCTGTTGCCTTGTTGTTGCGACAAACAGCAGGAGGTCCAAGTGCAAGGCCCGCTCCCCTCGACCGCATGCCCACCGCTTGGACCTCCCATTGGCCACACGCACGCAATAACAGCGCAACTTGGCGCATCACTCAAAATAATGATGACTTTATACTGTTGGTCAAAGCGAGTGCTCGCTGTGTGTGTGTGTCTGTGTGTGTGTGTGTGTGTGTGTGTGTGCGTGCGTGTGTGTAGAGCTTGAACACATTTGAATGTGCCAGCAAAATGAAATCGGAGTATCAAAGCGAGCTGTAAACTAGGATAGATGTTGTGATTTAAGTGCTATCGATAACTTATCGGAGAGCTACAAATGCTTTGTCAGTAACTCAAAGGGCAATGCAAACAGTGTTTTAAGAGCTATCGATTACGTATCGACACATTTGAGGTCTTGGAGCTTAGCACTTGTTTCGCTATCGCTAAGCTAGAAGCTATATCGATGTGTCATTGGTCGATAAATGGATGTTTGGAGTTGCTTAGTGTGAAGTAATCTATTAGACAATTCATTAGAAGTGTACGTAGCTGAGCATACATCATGTTCAGTCATTTATCGCTCGAAATCGATAAATTTATCGCTGGCACTGGCTTAGCTGCTGTTGGCCACTTCATGCTCCGCTTCTGTGCGATCTATTTAAGGCGCTGGCTTTTCCAGCTCGTTAATCAACAATAATAGCACACGGGGCCGCGATGGCCAGCACGGTTATCCATTCTGTAAGACTCCACGTTCCGACACTCGCTGTGCTCCGCTTTCAAGCAGCCCCCTCGGTGCCACCCCTCTTCGCTTGTTGGCTAACCAAGTGTAATGCACAGCACACAACATGCAAAAAGTTACATGAGAGGCGCCTCCAACTAAAAAATAAATAAGTTGTAAGTACGCTAAGGGTGTGGGGTTCGACTAGCCAGATACCCTGCAAGCAGTCACGAACTGGTGTGAACAAAAGCCAAAGAAATGGAAGTAAATGAAAAATCGATATTTATCGAATATGTATGGCAAAGAAGAGCTGATATGAAAATATGTTTTAGAAAAATATCGATATAGAGATCGATATGTATTCATACAAGAAGCCTTTATGAGCTTTAAAACAATATGAAGAATGTATCTACTGCTTGGTAAATCGATATATTTATCGATATGCAGAAAATTAATCAAAAAAAATCAAAAAGTTAAAGTATGTGCTGCTGAAGAAATAGGAATTTGTATATATCTAGATATATATTTTGGATTTCTACTCTTAAGCATATCGATATTTATCGATAACAGTTAGCTATTCACAAATAATGTGAAGGAAAGTTAAGTCTATGCTGCTCAGTGATAGAGATGAATTTGGAAAGTGCATTTGAGTTTGACTCGATTAGGTTTACGGATCAGTCATATATATGCGCTACACCTATATACCCGGTCGGAGATTTATTAAATGGGTATTTGTATAGAGGAACTTGCACACAGCATCACTTGCACACATACTCAGCTGTTGTCCATAAGCCAAGCCATGTATCTTCTCTCTCGCTCCGGCTCTCGCTCTCACTTTCTTTGTCCCGCTCACTGCTGGCTGTGGCAGCGCCACTCTCCCTGAGCTGTTGCAAGTGAACACGGTAGATTTGGCACTTTGAAAGGCAGCAACAAAACGCATAAATGTAGCTCGCGCACACACACAGCAGAGAGAGGAAAGCAGCTTGCGTGTGTGTGCTGTAGTAGAGCTATCTCGTTCCGGTTATCTTGCCATCTCTATCTCGCTCTAAGTACTTTTGGCCTTGTTTGCACCCGTGGGGCCAACTTCAATTCAAAGCGAACAAACTAATTTCCTATGCAAATTGAATGGCAGTCA